CCATGTATCATTATGAATGATACTAAACTCCCTAGTCTTGTGTCGTTATCTTCCGAATTAAAAACAGCTATCCCAGACAAAAAACAAACTCTCCCGGATGAAAAACAACTCTCCCGGATAAAAAATAGTTCTCTCGGACAAAAAATAGACTCTCCCGGACAAAATACAGCTCTCCCGGACAAAAAATAGACTCTCCCGGATGAAAAATAGTTGTACCGGATGAAAAAGCAGTTATTCTGGATAACACAGTTTTCAAAAAAATCAGCTTTTCATGTTGCACATTTTTCGGGACGCTAAATGACAATATTGAAATTATATAATAAAATAAGGGTATTTTTGTCAAAAAATTATAAAAAGGTATAGTTTGCAAAGAAAGAAAAAAAATGTATAGATTTCTAATGATGTGATATATTTGTCACAGTTTACCAATTGCTCCTTGTTTTTAACTTATTTTTATGACATTAATATACTTTTTAAGAACCAAAAGACTATCCCATATAATAAATATATGAATATTTTAAAATTTTCTTATAATATCAATCTGTTAATTTTATTAATTGAGATGAAGAATTTTTGTGTAAATGAGAATATATTAATACAATAAATTATATGAGTGTTGCTATTACAAATTGACAATTTTAGTTGTTATACATGGGAGTGGTTTTGAAAAACAAAATTCAGTTAGATCTCTTTTTTTTTCTAATTTTTTTTTCTTCATTCTTTTCATTTTTTTCTTTTGAAGATTTTGATTTGTTATTATCTATCTACAAATCTTTAAATATAGAGTAAAATCAAGAATGAAGAGAAAATAAAGATGAAGATGATGTTATATTGTATATAAGATGATGTTAATTTTTATTCACCATCTATTTTTCTCCTTCATTTTTCTTTTTAACCCCTTTATATTTTATCTTTCAACAACGATGGTTGAGTCTGTCTTCTTCGTTCTCTTCTCTCTTATGACCATTATCTTCGAAGTAGTTGTCTCCGCACATGATTAGTCTTTTATCCCTTGCTCCTACTCCTAATGCTAGAATCGGATTCTTAGGAAGAAGATGATGACGAAGATGATGATGTTCACATAAGTTGTTCGACAAAATTCCTTATTCTTTTTGTTTTCTTGAATATGTTTGTCATGATTCCGATATCTCGTCGAAACAAGTATGAATCCTTTTCATCTCCCATTTAATTTCCATTTTATGCATTGCTTGAGTCGAGTCTTTTTCGATTTTGTTGCTCACTTTTCATATTTGTTCTTGATATGTTTTCTCTTGATTCATCTTTTTCTCCTATTGATATTCAAATTTCTTAATCTTCTCTTTTTGTATCTCTTTCTAATATGTTTCTGTCAGAATGAAACCAACGGTCAAAGAGAAGAATTCGTCGCTGTTATTGATCACAGAAGCCATGTATATGTACAACTCGAACACAAACCGAAACTAGTAAATCTAGGGAAATCAGAAGAAGATATAATCAAAACAGGTAACTAACAAGATTACCAAATATACACAATATACGAAACCGATATTCTCGGTCAATACCCCCCTCAAGTTGGTGAGTGCATATCCCTCAGACCCAACTTGCCGATGAACCAATTAAATTCCTTCTTCCCCAAAGCTTTGGTGAAGATGTCCGCTAATTGCTCCCGTGTGGATACGTGCTGTGTGATAATGTTCCCATGATCGAGATGATGACGCAGAAAATGACAGTCCACCTCAATATGCTTAGTATGTTCGTGATAGACATCGTTGGAGGCAATATATAAAGCCGATTGACTGTCACAAAAGAGCATCATCGGGTCCGAGTGATCAACAAACAAACTGGCGAGAACACTCTTGATCCAGAGCAGTTTACACGTAGCAACCCGCATAGCCCGATACTCGGACTCGGCTGAGGACAAAGACAGAGTCTGTTGCTTCTTGGTCTTCCACGAAATGGGAGACATGCCGAGCTGAATGAACGAGCCAGATAACGATTTCAGAGTGAGAGGGCAACCTGCGTAATCCGCATCGCACCATCCACGTAACCGTAAGTCACAGTCCGTACGAAACAGAATACCACGACCGGGATCTCTCTTCAAGAATCGGACAACATGAAGGGCGGCTTCCCAGTGAGCTTGGCGCGGTAGCTGCATAAACTGGGATAGAATGTGAACGGAATAAGACAATTCCGGCCGAGTGACAATGAGATAGATAAGGCGCCCGACCAAACGTCTGTACTTGCCAGGATCTTCAAGTAGAGGGCTGTCGGTCAAAGAGAGCCGATGATTCTGGTCCAGGGGAAAGTCAGCGGGTTTACAACCGAGCATACCTGTTGGTTTAGTGCTCTATGATGTACTGTTTATGAGCTTTCTTTAGATACATTCGATGTATTGATACTTTCTATGGTTTTTATGAGAGTATTTGATTCATTACATGTTCTTGCATACTAGATCTGTTATGAAATCCATGTATCATTATGAATGATACTAAACTCCCTAGTCTTGTGTCGTTATGGGAATAACGACATAATAAGACTAGTATGATATGTGATTGATGATCATAGAGATGATCATAGGTATTGGATACGATCACAGTCATAGGTATTCGTTGGAGAACGGAATACGGGATTGACCCGCATGAGATTGTCACATGGACTAGCGTCATGACTTGAATCTCATATGGCGGTTCCATGATTGGATCCTAAGACCTGAGATATCTACGGAATCCAACATGAGGAGTTGCGTGCTTTGAATACGTCAAACGTCCTGCATAACAGGAGGACTATAAAGGCGTGTATCAGATACGAAACGAATCATGTGCTGGATTGTAGATTTTTGTAAAATAATTAATGAAATTATTAAATTTTTATAAACAGTAAATAGTATTTTATAATTATCAAGAACTGATAATTATATAATTTTAGAAAATAGAATAAATTTATAATGTTTCATAAATATAAATAGAATTTTTATAATAATTTCATATAGTGGCTCTTCACAATACCTATACGGTTCTTTAAAACTTAGCTTTCGTGTAAAATAGAAACAATAACCGTGTTGACAAATGAAAACCTATATTTTTCTAATCCATGACCCAAATATTTTGAGGATTCTTCTGACCAAAGAAAAATATATAATTGTCAACAAAATTGTTTCTTTTTTTTCCCTTCAAATCCAAAGAACTCTTATTATTTTATACGTAGGTTATTAATTCTGCATTATAAAAAAAAGGACTCAAATCATTTTATCGATGATCTATTTTCCGGGTTATGTAAAAAATCAATTCTAAGGATGTATCTCAATAACTATGGTTAGGTTCGGGGAATTTAAGTTCGGTTTTACAAAGATTGGCTCTCTCGAGCTTCACCTCATTTCTCGGGAGTTTAAATCTATCGATCTCTCGGTTCTAAATAAATTAAAACTCCTAAGATCATTAAGCGCGCTATCCTAATTCCTAAACGATGCAACCATCTCTCGATGCAAAAATCGCTTAATCGAAAGAACACTTTTCAAGTTTTAATTCCATATCTCTATGCAAATTTAACTCTTAAATCAATAAATCACGTGGCCAACAAGATTTATAGCATTAAGATTCGTTCTCCAAAACAAACCGTAAAACCAAAGTTTCAAGATAATTCAAACACAAGATTTTAACATAAACCCGTTCAATCCCTAACCTACAATGACGAAAACTTACTCCCACATGATGGAAATTAAACAGAACAAATTCAAACAGAAATTCATAATTAAACCAAAGCGTAAGGGAAATAGATTTCTCAATAAAGTATGCAGTTTGGTCCTCCTATGCTTGGTCCTCCATGAACTCCCGTTGAATCTTCAAGAACTTGATTAAAACTCTCTCTTCTATTCTCTGTATCTTCTCTCCTCCCTCTGCGTCGAAGGTTGCTTCTCTTTTTATCCAAATGCGAGCTGCGCTAATTACGGAGAAAAGTACCAGACAAAAACAAAAGCGGATGGCATCTTTGTCTCACCATTATATTTATTATATAAGACATATGGATGACGACAATTGAATTACAATCCCATATATTATATATTTATATATACATGTATATATATATTTATTAGTACATATGTAATAGATACATATATTATATATA